CCCACAAGAATATAGTATTGTATAATATTGCAACTTTTTTCTTTGCCCCCAGGTCCCCTGAATCCTCTGGGTGGCCTTGCTGGCTGGTTCCATAAAATATACATATTCATAATGAATGGCACGTAAAATTCAAAACCTGCCACTAAACTTCGTATTAATTGATAAGGCAGACTTTTCTGTGCTTAAATCTCTGTCACTAGTGAATGTTTGGATGAGGTCATATAGTAACCAGGAGACAATGGCATTTTGGTTCCCATTCTTCACTTCCGTCACGTCAAATGTGGTGGTTATTTTGGATATCTCATTGCATTCCAGCTTTCAAAAATTAAAAATTAAAGCTCCTTGGAGACTTACGGGATCATCACAGTTGGATATGAATGACAAACAAAGGCATAAAGAGAGGCTGGATTTGACCCCCCAAAACAGACTCCTCGACGTGACAGTGCAGCAAGGCCTAGAGCAATGCCAAAGGGCCTTCCTGGTAGAGAATTGGACAACATTTTCACAGACCCTCCTCCCCTGAGAGATGATATCTCAGACATCACATCCCAAACGGCTGACTCAGAAGATGAGCCCCAGAGAACGGCCATTGAAACAAAGGAGAGAAAGGGGGAAATGTCTGCCGCAGAGATGACAATGAGGAGAAATTGGATGACTTGGAAGCCAAGGCAAGAAGAAATAATCTTCATATTTCAGGCATCACAGAGAGTTTAGAAGGTAAAAACACCCTCACTTTTCTTCAGCAACTGCTCCCAGATCTCTTCCAGATAGACCTACTGCTTACTACTGCCCCCTTTGAGATAGAGCTCAGCAAGTGGGTTAAAAAAAAATAAAAAAGGCGGGAAAATGCTCAGCCTGAGGTTGTGGTACATAAACTGCTGAAATGCACTGATAAGCTGCTAGTAACAAAGGCAACTAGTTCACATTTGTGTGTTGAATCCTATTGTCCAGTTACAAAGACCAGGATCTCAGACCTGAACTGATGCATTTAGGACTGAGTCTTGCAGGCCCTTGAGTGCCATGGAACCAAGTTGTGCAGTGTCTCTCTCCTCAGGAATGCTTGGAGGAGAGCTTGTGGGAGATTTAGGAGGAAGCGGGGGAATGGCCAGTGGATCTATCATATTATAGCCATTCCTACAAGCTAAGGGACTTGCTCTTGTAAAGGAGGCCAATTAATGCTAGATGCTGCTCTGTTTGCATCTTGCTCTCTGTTCTGGGTGGAAGAGTCTTTCCTCCCAACATTTGCATGGTTCCCCGACTCAAAGATCTCAGCTTTACTCAGGAAATTAGAATTTCAGCCCAAATGCCGTCTGCCAGCCAGTTCCATTCTCAGTGCATTTCATCCCGCCCTTTCCACGCAGCTACAGAAACACATTTTGCTTGAATTGAATCATTTTGTTTCCAAGTTTCCTGAATAACAAACAAAGCAGAAAACAAATATTGTCTGACAGCTCCAACAGAATCTGTATTAGCCAAGACATTAGCCTCCTCCCTGGCTCAGAACCTTGTCTTCTCTTACTCTCCATGCAGATGAGCCCATCTGCCCTCATCTAGTGCAGCTAGCTCTGGGGTGGAAACGGAGGGAACGGGGAGCTTATGCTAAGGCTGTCTTCTCACAGAAATCCAGGGGTAGACTTTTCCTCCTGAAAGACAGCTGCTACCTGTTATTCTAGAAGTGGCAGGGAGAGGTTTTTATTATCATTAACATGACTTCCCATGATGCAGAAGGTTTTCTCAATTAATGTAAATTCTCCTCTTTCCTGACTTGCCTGTGATATGAAAAAGTAAATCCTCTGTGCTAGTCAGGAAATTGTTTAAAAAAACACCATACCATTGGCTTTCGCTTGGCTGTTGTTTATTTAGGATATGGTATTTTTAAACTGAAGTTGGTTGCATCAGGGAGATGCTGTTTGTTTTGGCACTGGTCACTTGTCATATAGTGCTTGTACACCAACTGTTCTGTATACATTACAATGCATGGTCTCCAGGACATATTTTATATGGGATGAAAGGAGAGAGGCATCTGTATTCTCTGCTGAGAACAGTCCCCCTTTCATCATGTCGGTATTACAAGGGGGCCAGAAAGCTGCCAGATCTCCCCAATGTGGGATTTCCCAGCAGGCATAGTACTGGTATAGCCGGGTTCTACACCACCATGCCTGCAGCCCTTGGCATAGCACAGTTCCTAGGTGGGCAGTTCCTTGATGCGGGGCAGAAGCAGCCACTGTAGATGAAAGCACCTCTCAGGCTGCTTTCCTCTGGGCTGCAACTGGCGTAAAACTGATTCTAAAATCAGGGGACCACAGGTGGGGCTTCTTTGTTGCTGAACAGAACTGCATGGTGCTGAGAATGTGGGTCAGAATCTCTTCTCTGACATTTCTTGGTTCCACTCGCCATATTGCATCATGCTGAACCTAACGCCTGGAATAATGTCTCTCTTGTTTGCCAAGCACCCTCTCACTCCTCCATGAAATCCCTCCATTCTTCTTATCCTCCGTAATCCCCTCAGCCACCCTCTCCTGAACCATTACCCCATAACTGGTGAGTATTTGTCTAGTAGTCATAGGTAGACTGCAAGCTGTTCGGGGAGCCAAGAATGTGCCTTATCTCTTTTTGCAAGGTGTTATGAAAACAGATGGCACTATACGCGTATGTTAATAATATTTTCTGAAGATTACTAGAACGACATCCGTGTGTGCCAAGGAAGCTACTTTGCAGATATCTGCACTCTAGCACTGCTAGGGAGGGAAGTATTGTATCTGCCAGGGTTATTACATCTGTGATTATGTGAAGTAGCTTCACTGCTGCTCCGTGTCCTTAGAATAGGGTGACCAGATGTCCTTATTTTATAGGGACAGCCCCAATATTTGGGGCTTAGTCTTATATAGGCGCATATTGCCCCCCATCCCGTCCTTTCCCCCCCCCCCACACTTGCTATCTGGTCACCATAGGTTGGAAGGGGAGGTTTCCTTCCTCTGGAAACCCAGCAGACCTCTTGCCTACAGTTCCCACAGTGTGGAAGGATAGACAACCTCAGGACATTGTTCTTACAGGAGACAAACTAATATTAAACACAAAATCTCCGTGAAAGGAGACAGCTTTGAACTGACTCAAATTACTATGGGGTTCTGTAAGTCAAAGGGGATCATATTCACCCTGTCTTTTGTTTACACTACCAGTCTTTTTGTCCCAGTCCTAACCTCTGAATCCAAATATGTCCAATATGTAACAGTGCTGTTCTGTAGGTAGATAAATCCTCTGCACCGAATGCAGCAGTTCACCTAACTGTTCTTCAAGTCATAGCATGTCTGCAACAGTTTCATAATGAACGTCCTCTCTCCTGATGCAAAAATTCCCCAAAAGGCATTTAAAGCATTACATCTGATCCAGGTGCTTGTTTTGTCTCTTTCTGTGCTACAGATTGACTTTTGCATTCAAATGCCAGGCCCCTGCACTTTCTTTATGTCTTAAAGTAATACCGCGTGCTGGTTGGACTTATATGTTGCCTGAAGATGGCGTTTTTTTGCATTTAATAGTTTGATTGATTTTGCGCTTTAAGACCTGAACCTATATTGCAAACCCATCTTATTTCTTCATTACAAAGTCATGGGAGAGGCTATTTAGTTAAGTTTGGAAAGACTATAGCACCTTTTGATGTGATCTTGTTACCTTTCCTAAGCTAAGCAGGGCTGCACTGGGACAGTTCTTGGAGAGGAGATCTACAAGGAACACTCAGGGGCGCAACAGGTAATAGTGTTGATGATTCAGTAAGCAGCAGCCTTCCCTCTGAATCAGTAATGAATCTGTACCAAGCATGGTGCCAGGGAGTTGCATTGCCAGAGGGTGTCTTTTTTCCAAAGAGATGTAAAAGAGAAATGTTGAGTCGGAACAACTGTGGTCATTAAAGATCCTAAACTCAACTTCTGTATGAATCAGGGAGTTAACATAAGTGGCCAAATTGCAATATTGACAATTATGTACTGCCTCCCCAGATTCCCCAGTTAGACACTGTGTTCTTCACTTCCCATCAAACTACTGTGTTCTGTGCTGGTGTTAAAAATCTACCATGTTCTACACAGACAGGGTTGCATTTCAGTGGTAGAGAAAGTGAGCCCTTTATATCTCATATTTTACCCAATAGGATTGGTATGAGGCTTTATAAATGTTTGTGAAGTGTAGAGATAATTAGATAAAAGTTATAGAAGTGCAATATATTTTTATGAAAGACAATTCCTATTTTAAGCCTTCTTCTTTCCCAGGAATACCCCTTTTGGCCTGATATATTTTATGTGATTGATCGTTAAAACAGCCTCTCCCTCTATGAACTCTTGCATTAGTGAAGTCTCTGGTTCCCTGAATCACAGATTAGTTTCTGATCTGAAGCTAGAAATTTTTAGACATGATTATAAAATACATTTAAGTGGGTGAGACAAGGGAGAGGGAAAAAAATCTTTTTTAAAAGAACATCTTTCCTATTTCTATGTTCCAGTTCTTTAGGAAGTTCTCATGTAAATGTGAGGAATGAATAAAAGGAGCACATTAAGATCAGTTTTATAGCTTGAATTTCACATATTGTAAATAAGAACTACACTATTTGCAGAGTTGGTATAGGAGTGTTTATAGGTTCCAAACAGATTCCTTGCTAGAGTGACTGTCTAAAAACCAAGACTCTCTGTTCAGACCAAAATCGGGTTTAAGAATCTCTCTCTTCACTTTTGGTAATGGTGGTATTACCCCTTTTTAATAACGATGAATTTAAGCAGATTGTTAGTGCATAAGATGCTCTTATTTCCAAGTTTCTAACTATCTTTTATTTTATAATGTAATACAACACTGATACCAATAGGTAACACAGTAAATACATGAGTGTGAAATTATCAGCATTTATTGACAGTGAGAAATAGTGGAATGTAATTCATTGCATATTAGACAAAGTTCTCACTGAGTCTTCATTAAAATACAGCCTGTAAATTATATATTTTACAATGGTTAATTCAGTTTTGAGCATAATATTTAAAAAGTGATACAAATCAAAAGTTCAAGGTTCAAGTTCTGCCCTCACATACCCAGATCCCATGGAAATAAGGACAGTACTATGTTCTTATTGTACATCTTGCGTCTGTACTCTTTACACTTCTATCTGTGAAGTCCACAACTGATTTGACTCCAGTACAAAGGATCACTAATACAAGTTAAAATCTCTATTATTATGCTGCCTCATTGTACGTTTTTAGTTGTATTCCAGGCTTTAAGGCCATTGAAATCAATGAAAGGCTTTCCATTGACTTCGGTGGGGGCTAGATCTAGTCCTTAATTCTTATTTCTCAGTTTAATAAAGTGATACAGTATTCCTGAGTTCTATCATGCAGGTGGTATAAGAAAATCAAGATGATTTATTGTATATAGGGTCTCTGAAACATTCACCATGATCTTTTCTTTTAAAAAACAAACTAAAATTTCCAAAATATTGCAAATCCCTAGAAAAGCCTAATTCTGCTGGTAGGTTCAGGTTCTCTGACCCTAAGCCTAGGAATGACTCCTGACATCCTTCATCCAAGCTAGAGTTAAAGTGCAAACAATAGTAAAGACGGATGAAATATAATAGAAAAGAAACCAAATTAAGGAAAATAGTTCTATTTTGGGTAAAACTCTGAAAGAAAGACCTTATTCAATATCCCACACTGAGGAGATATATGGAAATCAGGAAGTGAATATTCAACATACAATATAATACAGAATAATTTATTTTAAATATATGCAGTTATAATTCTTATTCAGACTCTGTTCCTCACTCTGGGGGAAAATACAACCTGAATATAAAAAATCTTGATATAAGAACATTGTTTAGCTGATTAAAAGGTAAGAAGTTTAGGACCTGATCCATCATCCATTGAACAGTAGCTCTCAGAGCTTAATACTCAAAAATATTCAATGAGAGGAAGGAGACCCTTTATTAAAAGCAAAATGCAAAGACATAATTCACATAGGGGGAAAATAGATCACATTCGTAAGTACTTGTTACCGGTAACCCTGATTCTACAATATCTACACATGAATAAAATCTCTCCCATTTATTTCAAAGAGAGAGGGATATATGAATTGATTGCAGAGGATCAATCCTTTTATGTGTTATATATTGCTCCATATGTAGCAAACAAGGAAGTTTCATAGAAACCAGCTAATTCACAATCAGAGTTTACAATAAAGTGAGACTAAATCTGGAGACAGGTATTGAGGTTTTCGGGAAGTAGTTACTAAGTCTCTAAAATTTCCTAACAGATCCCCAATTATTCTGTGATAACAGTTTTGATTTTTTTTAAATTGAAAAGTTACTTGGTATAAAGATGACATCGAATATTGTGAGTAAATATCTAAAGTTATATGGAAGAAATTTTTCTTCTGTTGAGCGTACAAAAATTGATTAATGGTTTTAAAATTTCAGTTTTACTATTCCAGACTACCTACATATACAGTCTTCTACTGTTATAAACTCTGATTGTATCTTTAAAAAACTTGTCCTTAGTTGAAAACACATAGTCAGTTGTAGGAATTTTTTTCAGTGCGTGCCTTAAAAATCTGTGATAACCCCATCCTTGGAGTTCCCATTGACTTTACATGCCACTGCAGGTGCTTAGCATCTCTGAAAATTCAACTCATATGGTAGGGAATAATCTTGTACTGGCACTTAGGGGTTTGGACTCCAGAGATCTACGGTCAACATTTTCAAAATTAGACACCTATATTGTAATGGCTCAATTTTCAGGGTTCTGAGCTCCCACAACTTGAACTAGCTTCACGGGGAGCTGAGAGTGCTCAGTGCTTTTGAAAACTAGGCCACGTATTTAAGGCTCCTAGCGTTAGATGCCCGAGTCTGAAAACTTCTTTTGAGTATTTTCCTCTCTAATTTCGATTAGTCCAATTCTGGGCTCTCGGGGGGTGTTTTCATCAGCAGCTCAAGTTTTAACAAATTCAAAAGACTTTTACTGTCTGTTTTCTGGCTGTTCCTCAGCAACAGCTGCGGAGGATGAGATGGGAATAATGAACCTACTGGTACATTCCTAGAAGGCAAACAAACAAACGAAGCATTCAGTTGAATAGTAGCTGTCTTGTTTTAGTTACTCTACATTTTTTTCCTGCTTGTCTCTGCAGGCAAAGGTGATTTCAGTGCAGTGCAGAACTCTGGGCCTGATCCAAAGTCTTTTGAAATCAGTAGGCATTTTTCTCCTTGACTACATTGGCTCTGGATCAAGCCATATGATACTATCCTAAACTTACTCAAGTTCCAGGAAGGTGGGTGGGTGCAAGCCCACTCACAGCTGAAGGCCCCTCCCCCAGCCTAAGGGGAGAAACCACTAAGCCCAGGGTTCAACTACGTTCAGGGGACAACAAATGATCAAACAGGAACGGATCCGGGGTGGGGGTGGGGGGAGATACTATTCTACAGGTGAGCATAGGGTTGCCAACTTTCTAATTGCACAAAACCAAACACCCATGCCTCGCCACTGCCCCGCCCTTCCCTGAGGCCCCACCCCGTCTCTGAGGCCCCGGCCCCACTCCCTCCAGCCCCCCTCCCTCCGTTGCTCACTCGCTCTGCCCCACCCTCACTCACTTTCACTGGGTTGGGGCAGAGGTTGGGGTGAAGGCTCCAGCTGGGGGTATGGGCTCTGGGGTGGGGCCAGGGTTGAGGGGCTTGGAGTGCAGGAGGGGGTCTGGGCTGGGGTCAAGGGGTTTGGCATGTGGGAGGGGGTGAGGGGTGTGAGTTCAGAGAGGGAATTTGGGTGTGGGGGCTTAAGGCTGGGGTAGGGGTGAGGGAGTGGGTATGGGGTGCGGGCTCCAGAGGGGGGCTCAGGTCTGGGGTAGGGGGTTATGGTGCGGGAGGGGGTGTGGGCTCTGGGAGGGAGTTTGGGTGCGGGAGGGGGTTCCAATCTGGGGCAGGGGGTTTGGGCTCCAGCCGGGTGGCACTTACCTCAGGCGGCTCCCGGTCGGTGGCGCAGCGGGGCTAAGGCAGGCTCCCTGCCTGCCCTGGTTCCACGCTGCTCCCAGAAGCAGCCACCATGTCTGGCCCCTAGATGTAGATGCGGCCAGGCAGCTCTGTGCGGTGCGTGGCTGTTGCGCCCGCAGGCACCACCCCCATAGCTCCCATTGGCCGCGGTTCCCGGCCAATGGGAGCTATAGTGCTGGCGCTGGGGGCAGGGGCAGCACACAGAACTTCCCTGGTTGCCCCTGCACCTAGGAGCCGGACATGCCAGCTGCTTCCAGGAGCCACGCAGAGCCAGAGCAGGCAAGGCGCTGGCCTTAGCCCTGGTGCACCACCCACCAGACTTCTAATGGCCCAGTCAGCGGTGCTGACCGGAGACACAAGGGTCCCTTTTTGACCAGGTGTTCTGGTCGAAAACCGGACACCTGGCCACCCTATGTAAGCAGCTTCTACACTAGAGCTATTCCGTTAGGATGCCCTTAACTATGCGGCACAGTTGCCTTCCTCAAAATTTACCTTTAAGAACATGGCCAACGACGTTCGAAGATGAAGAGGAAAGAGGCTCAGACATTTCTGGTAAATAGGGAAGGGTCCTGCCACTCAGTACATTCGGTAAGCCACAGTCCTGTACAAATGAAGCATCCAAAACAGTCAAGCGTTTTCACTCATCACCATGAACTCATTTCCTCACTGTGGATACATTCAGGTCCTGACATGCAGGGGCCAGATTCCTTACTCTATTCTAACCCCAGGGGACAGAAGATGGCAAGTTCAGTCTCTTCATAG